TGCCAGCCCGCTCAGAGAGTGTATAAAGAGCGCGCGCAAAGCGCGCGCTTTGTTTTGTTCTAGTTAATATAAAATATAGAATTAATATATTTATAGAATTAATATAAAAAGATATCTGAATAGGAGATAGATTAAACAGATGTACATTCTTTTTTAATAGGACGGTACAAAAGCTGATCCCGAGGCAGCGCGTTCGAAAGCGGATGCAGTCCCGACCAGTCGTTGCTTCATTTCCAGAAGAAGCCTCTACCGCATACACATGACAGCGACATTTTTGCTCTTTCTCCTCGCGCTGCTGATTCTGCTTATCGGCATGATCGGCGGGCTGTACATCTACAAACAGTACGCGAGGACTCAGATGCGCAGATTCCGCACCGGCTGGTACAGCATTCCGTATGACAGCTCGAATAAAGCGTCCTACGGCAATAACGCGGTCCATCAGGGACTGCTGGCCGACTCCGATCTCTTCACGAAGAGTCTCACCAGAGCCATGGAGCACGACAGCATGCTGGACATCGCGAAGAACTTCGAACACGATATCGATAATTTCTTCAAGGAGAGATTCGAGATCGATCTTGAGAATGAGCATTACGAGAAGATCGACGTGCCTGATTTCCGCGGCGGGCGACAAGGCCGCTTCATACACGACTTCAACATTGTGAGTTGAATGATTTAGCATACTCGTGAACTGCTTCTGCTTCTGCTTCGTACAAGGGATACACATTTCTTACGATATCGTGTTTATTTGCAGAATAAGACAGGTATCATAGATATCGACGGTCAGTGTTGCTTCGTCATGCCACTGAATCGTCAGCGCGTGTTGCCGCCTCGTAACATGTATGATCTCCTTAGAAAAATGTACAACGGTGAGTTTTCAATTCGAAAATCAATTGACTCTCATTCATTTATTAATCCTTATTGAGCTGTGTTACACGTGCAATTCTTATACATATCAGGCTATTACGAAGTGGACACCGCGGTCGTACGCGAAACCATGAAAGTAGTCACACCGCCAATCACCGACATGTCAATCGTCGGAACGTACATAGCGCGCGAATGCCAAGACTTGCCTACCTACATGCTGGAGAAAGTGAACGCTTCTAGCAGTTAGTTGTCAAATTTCAATTTGTATCTCAAAAAGGTAAAGCCTTTTCGACATGCTGTATTATTGTGCTTTCAAATGTTTCAGTTGTGAAACGCAGCGCAACGCAGTGCGGCGTGTTCGGACAGTTCGCCGGCAACAGTATTATGGAGGTCGATATCGTGAATTTAGATGACTTCGAATGAAACTAATGAGAAATTGAGCGGTGGGAATTTTCAATTATTCTAGAATATATTAAAACTACCAGTAGATCAATGTATAAAAATTATAAGCTGTCCAGGGCAAACCTAGGTAAATATTCCGTCGAGTTTTAGAATACTTACTTTGCATTTTTGTTTGTACGTCAATTAATTTTTTGTCCTCAGGATTTCCCTAAATTATGTTTCAGATGTATACATACTCCCATTTATCGGGATCTTCATTACGAGTCTTTCCAATTCTATTAGTTATTCCATTTTCTATTAATTTCAAATGATGAACATATGATGCAAGTACACGATTTATTATATTATCGGAAGTATATAATAATAATCATGAGAAACTCCTTTATATCATGAGAGGCTAAACGTGAATGACTGAATCGTTATAAAGAAAAAAAAGATGCAAGAAGTCTGGTCTAGCAGGATGATGCATTATCTGCAGGTTCTTATAGAAAAATTAATATTTCTTCCATATTCTCGTGGTATATTATTCACAGATAGCGAATACGGTGTTACGTCATAGTGAACGTTTATTATGGATTCTGGTACACAGCTTGTTGACTATATTTGCGAATGTCTGCGTTGAGGAAAAAAAAAGCGATGAAACCAGTAGAATAGCCGTGCTAAGTGGTTACGCTTACGATGCAGTTTTATGATACGTTATTATTAGCGAAACTATAGATATATTCATTTGTTTGAATTCTACTTTAGAAAATCTACAGCTCGCGTTACGAACAACGCTTGTGCGAGCTCGAATTATTGAATTCGAATTAGTAAAGCACGAATTATTATAATATCGCAGAAGTGAAGATTATTTTCAAAATACGTTTCGATAAGATATATTGGATATTTTGCAATTGTGATTAATACGTAAAACATGGTAAACCATTTACAAGATTACTATGACTATATAAATATTTTTACAAAACGTTTGAATTGAAAAAAAAAACGCAGAAGTGACACACAAGAGTACCGAGGGAAATCTTTGGTGTGTTTGGACATTCCATATAAAAGACTTGCTTATCTCTTTCTGCATTTCTAATCGTGAAAAAGTTTCATACTCGAAAACTTTATTGAATATTACGAGTATTTGACGAGTGTTAAGAATAGAGTATTTTAAATATGTTTTATGTACAAGTTCATTGCCAATTTATCATGTACGAAAGCTGGAGCTGAGAACCAGAACCGTAGATAAGGATCGTGACTGAATGCAATTTTGCCATTAGTCTACTTGGATGCATCGTCACACGTATACAGAGAGAAACCTGTTTTTATTTTTTTTTTTTTAATATTCTGTTACGCGCATACGGCATTTAATGTCGGCAAACGTATCCAGGTACTCGGATATTAGTCTTAAATATTGCATGCTATAGATATCCAATATTAACACTATAAAGTAACTTTCTTTAAGTTTTTCCAATCAGGATACTTTAGACTAAAAATAATGTGCGCATAAAAATGGATCTAAGATTTTAGTAGCAGATCGGAAAGAAAAAAAATTCTAGTCTGTCTTGTCGTCATTATTTATAATTGAAATCGAAATTGAAAGGCCAAATTATTGTTACAGAATGATTTTTACGTATAAATTATTGGAATATTTACCAAAAATTATAATATATATGGATGAAAGTATTGATTTTTATGTATAAATTGGAATAAATATTAATACGAAAAATTGTAATATATGAAAATGTATTTCCAAATCAATTATAAGAAAGGCTTAATTCTTTAATACTCACATAGAAAGGACTTATTCTTTTTGCAAACAAATTGCCGAGATGAAAAAAAATACGTACGTATTAATATATGCACAGATTATGTGTTATGGACCGAGTGCCTGAACATATATAATTCTTTGTATTATTTATATATAGTATATATTATTATTTGTATTATGTACTCTTGCTTGTATTATCAACTCTGCAATAAACAAACACGCAAATGTATAAATATGCGGCGCGTACACGTCGTTTTAAATGTCCGTAGACGTAGAGATTAAACATTGGTGGCAATAAATAGCGTAATGATTAGAGTTCCACCACCGATTTTCAAGTGGGGAAAGAAATATCTTGTTAATATCAATTAGCTTCTGTTAATTCCACGACGACGCGTAATTTTGTCTGCGCAAGAAAAACTTTATTATAGAATTGTTACACGATTCACTGTCACATTTCGTGTGATTGTAGTTAAGTTCCTATAGCCACTATTTATATCTTCATAAGTTTGAGAAGTTTCCTTAGCTTCATAGCGTTAAAAAAAAACCAAATTTGTAAAACTGTACGCGACATTAATTGTAAAGTCTGACAAGAAAATAAATGATACATATGAATGTCAGGTGCGACCGAATATCTTAATGGTTTCTTTTTTATCGAAGTTTTGCTAAAGCCAAAGATGGATATACGAAAAGATTTATATTTCTCCAAGGTTTATATTTCACAAAAATGCTCTTTACTTTTTTTTATCTGTCGTCAAATTGTTAAATTATTGATAAAAATTTAATTACTTTTATATTTTTCGCATATTATATAATTTCATAAATTGCGCATACTATAATTGTGTAATAGTACAAAAAAATACACGTCTTAGATTAAATAACATAGTAGTCTTAAATTAAGCAACATTTGTATGTGCCAAGTCGGCTATGGCTTTCTGTCTAAGAGTGTAAAGCTTTTTCACCCATTTATCGAATCTCGCTTCTTGATCCATTATAATCTGAAAAGAAGAAACAAATGAAGTACTCACTTACGAATACATCGGAAAATTTAAAGATCGTAGAAACTTACCGATGTGTGAAATATGCTGTCTGGACCGCTGGCAACATTAGATACCGGTGGAATTTGTATGGTATCCGAAGTAATGTCTATCACGATATTTTTTAATTTGCTCTCCTTGTTAGCAGACGAAGTGAACTGCTTGGGAGTGAAACCTTCGGCGTTTATCTCCTCGAGTACGCTGTCCTTGAAACGTGGCTCAATGGGGAAATCGTCTGTAAAGCGACATATACAATTTACTCCACTTAATATGGCAATACTTAAATATTAATCGTATTTATAAAAGACTGTATAAGAGGTATAACATTCATAAAGATGCTGTACAAAAGGTGAAGAGCGAACGTTTCTACCTTTTATCGTTACGACTCGGATCTTCTCTGTAACTTTTGCTTGATTTGACTGCGAACTGCTGGAAGGGCTCCGTGACTTCTCTCTGGATGTGGATCTAGCTTTTCGTCTCGAACGATCCGAAGAGTACGATCTGCCCGTGCTGGAGCGGTAATGCCGCTTGTCCCGATCTCGTGAGTGACTGCTCCTGGATCCTTTGTGACTTTTCGTATTCCGATCTCTTCCTCTGCTCCTCGAGTGCGAGCGGTGTTTGCGCTTTGTTTTCGAGTGTTTCGACGGCCTCCTTCGATGCGGCGAGGACTCACTGCTGTCCGAGCTGCTAGACCTACGAAAATTGTTGTGAGATTGAAACTCGTTCCTCTACGAACGATATTTGCTAATAAATGATATCAAACGATTCAGTGAATATGAATGTTAACATTTAATTAATACAACATTAATTTAATTAAATTGTAATTAATTAAATACTGCACAGTGCGAGCGACGCAAATTGAAATGCTGTAAGATACAAATTGAAAATCGTGTAAATTTTAACAACTTTTATTAATAATATAATTGGATATTATTCTTGCGTTTTACCTCGACTTTCGATTTCGTTTCCTTCGGTATCTGCTACTGTGGTCCGAATCCGAATCGCTGGAGTACCTCGCCATAGCTGTCAAAACAGCGTTTCTGTTTGCATTTATCCAGGAGTTAACAATCTAACCTATCGAAACCTGGCTCGCCATTTATGTGGGACCACCACTGGCACTGGGACAGTGGCCGTCAGTGAGACGGGAGACCGTCCGAGATGGGAGAGCCCACCGTATACTAGCGCTAGTACATCCACTTTTGGAATGGGTACTACGTAGTTACATCCACTGCAGACGAGGTATATGCAATAGACTTATGAATATCAGTCTATGGTCGCGATGGCCGATGCGGCGATGCCATATACATAACCTCGCATAACCTAGAACTTCTAGGTTATGTATGGCGTCGCGTAGTGCACAGCAGGGCTGGACGGTATTCTGACAGTATCGATCAATATACATATACAGTTATGGGATAATTATGATGCTGGAGCAAGCCGGGGCTGGAGTTATGAATGAGCTTTGCAAGGTTTATGTAACCGGGTCTTTGCAATGTGAGAACCACAGAAAGAAGGCGCGGAAGAATTCAGATTGATGCAGTCGCCGAAGATCGCAATGACACGATCCATTTGTAAATAAAATTTAAGTTTTAGGTAAGATCTTTGTCAACGTGAGTTTTTTTTGTGTATAAATTTAGTCGTATCCTTACTTTAAACTTAAATTGATATGCAGTTTGGCTTTACGATAAAAAATATCATTGAAAATATACTAATAATATACTAATAGAATAATATTTTTAGGCTCATTCTGCTGATTGGATACTATTTACTTCCACGAAGGATGTTGCTATCAGCTTATCAATAAAGGTATAAATATTTATCAATTCGAACAACAATCTTGGAAAAATGTATAAGTTTGTCCAAATGAATTTTATGCTCTTTTTTTTTTACTTGATGTGAATTTGATGTTAGAATACATTGAAGATTTCATATTTAATGTATGAACGTTTAATTCAATATAGTAACATTAATATTGTATATAGATAATATTAATAGCGCCATTTGACATTTTCACAAAATATTTCCATTCCATTTGTTTTCGCTTAGCAAAGACAGCAGGACACAAAAAATATTTATAAAAATTTACATTTTTTTTAAGTTCAAATTTTGTTAACAACTGCGAAGATATAAAAAAAACGATTATTTATTTTTAATATAGTACATCCAATATACACGTCTGTCATTCGTAGCATACATTGATGTAAACGTTTGATGTGTACATAAATAAAAGTTCTTTGGAGGAGACGCTATGTTCTTCCATTACGATTAGGGAATCAGAACGATTATTAAGAAGAAGCTGCTACAGTTTCTATCTCTAATGCCGACACACCTCGTTGCTTGACGGGCAGGTAAACGCCTCCGTAAATTTGAAATTCAAACATAGTAATATTTGCTGTATCTAAAGGCTCACCGTCCGGGATCTCACGTCCACGATAATAAGGTTTGAAGTCTCTCAAAGGTAAAGTCACTGTGGAAAATTCGTCATCCGACATTGGTACCTGTAGCGGAAATTTTTGAAGAATGTTTAAATAGAAGAGCATTTCCAGCGAGATATTTCCATCGATACAGAAATTCCGATGGCTGAGAAAATGGAGTTAATAGTGGGAAACAAAACAAATCAAAGATAAAACCGCCGGGATTTTTCTTTAAGCTTTACCGTAAAGAATTGTTCGTAGCTGAGATCCTTGTTGGAATTCTGTCCTCGATGTCTCAGGGATATCTTGTAGTGGCTATTTTGTCCTTGTCCCCGGCAAGTGATCTCGATATCTCTGAACCTCGACAAATCCAGATTCGTCGGCTTTCTGACGCCAGCGAAACCGGCACCATTCGGCTGCGGATTCAGCAGTGTGAAGAGGATCGCTCTCTGGAAGAGCTGGCTCGTCTGCAGCGTTAGGACAGCTTTGGATTTTCCCACTGTTCTCACAGTGTCGGACATCTCCCGCCAGTCGTCCACACTTTGCGCATCCGTGAAATCGAACAGCATCATTTTGTCCCTGATTAAAATTCCAAATGAAGCAAACACATGTAGACTTATGCTTCATATAGTTAGATAAATTCGATTCTTAGAAGTATTATACAATTGTGCACCAAAAGTGGGGAAAAGGACAAATGATGAAAATGTAACTACAATTCGCTTTAGTCTTTATTTTTATTATTTATATTCCTTAATAATTTCATGCAATGACTAAAGCCTACTCTGAGCAGTCTTAATTTGTATCGGAATTCAGTATAAAATGTTTACAACTTCGTGTGCCTTTCTAGGCAAAAGCATTTGAAGAATCAGAATACGTGCATATATATAATGATATATATTGCGATACATGATGCATAAAATTTCATAAATGGAATTCTAAAATGTGATATGAATTGTAGGTGTTTAATAACAATTAGACAAGACAGTGATACATTTTAGAGTCAATTTTAATTCACGATGGGTCGTCTAGTTGTCTCAATCATTTGTGATTTTCCTCGAGATCTACGGTCGTGGAAACTTTCCACTCGCCCTTCCGAATCCGTAATCCTGTACGCGTAATTTTCGAGCGTATTGTGCATAATGATGATCACGCCTCACCCTCTCACAAAGTGACAAGTCACGATAAAAACAGCGATCGTTCGTAAATTCATGTTTCAAGCTTGATTAATGTAGGAATACGTGTGTCATTGCGCATAATGGTGGTCGACATACGCAGTAGCCAATCAAAATTTTGCAGCGCAAAATTCAAATGAAATATTAGTTAAAAAATGTCAGTAAAAGCACCGACGAGATATTGTTGTTAAAGACGGCCTCCCAAACTTTCGTAACTGTCAAGTGGATCCGGGAGTAATTGAATAATGATGACATTACTAACGATTTTGACTGTACTGAGGATAAAACTGACTTTACTCTTTAATAATACCTCATCGGTGACTATGTTAAAAAGATAAGTATATTAAAATTATTCTCATCACTGTCACCTTAATCGCGATAATTATCGTAACCTTAGGTTTCACGATATGATCTACCAGTATTATAATACGACCAAGAGATTTCCGTCGTGCGAATTAGCGGCTGGAAATGACAAGGTCGACGGTATTGATACGTCAGGTTTTCATATCTTGGTGCTTCGGCATTGAAGCAGCTTATCAATTTGGGTCAGTTTGTCAGTTTTCGCCGTTTTAAAAGTTACCTTATTAAGGTATTGTCAGCTAGAGAATATGAAATTAAGTTTTCATGTACAGAGAAAGGCAAAGATTAATAAAAGCCACCACGAGTAATTATATAGTAGCAGGAGCTGAGTTAAAAGTCGGTGGCTTAGCATTTCGTTTTTCATGAGGTTGATAATACGTTTGTTAATTTTTAGACGAATGAGATGTAACTCTCAAAGAAAATAGATTTGTGTGTGAGATTTCTTATTAAAGCGCATAGAATTATTGCGAGCAAAGTAATAATGTTGATAATGCTTACTATTCAGAGCCAATCGATTTTATAAAAAGTATAACAGTCTTTTTACTGAAAGGTCAGCGTATAAGATTATATTTTTAGTATAAAAATTTCATAAAATATTTTTACTAAAATTTTTATTACAAATTTATTATAGATCCTGTTTATAAAAGAATTTGAAGAAAAATGTGTGGTGGACCAGGACAAGGATTCTGTTCATAGGCTTCGTGGCAGGAATTGTTCAATGGGAAATATAAGAATCTACAATCACACTCCTAGAAATTCTCACTGTTGCCTGTCGAGTAGAGAATCATATCCTTTGGGCAACTATCCAGGATTGATATCCTTTATTACCTGCGAGAACGAATAAATGTAAGAAAAAACAGCTTTTTTTATAATTTTATATTAATATTACCATAAAGTTGCCGCTGACGTGAGACGTCTTCTCATCAGTTGGAAATGCTAAACCCATATATATCACATAGTTATGTATATGCGAAAAATATAAAATCGGCACAAATACTTCACTACTGGACAAAATCGAGCCGCTAAGAAAATTGTACACATATTTATATAAACATAATGTAAATGGAGAAAATAGGAATGGCTTTTTAATATACAACTTTGATAAGAGTACAAAGATCAATTAAAATCAGATCGCAAAGAACAAATATTTATATTATTAGTAACTGGTCAGATAACGACAAGATTGCGAAAATGTCAAAGGTAATTTCTATCCGCTTTCGATATTTTTCAATGGCTAAAAGAGAGAAGAATCAGCGAAATATGTGTTATGTATAAATATGTATAGATATATGCATGAAGAGAATGTTTATTATAATCTGAAGAGTCATTAGAAGAGTGATATAATTATCCTACTAACAGCTACGTTCTTTATTTTCATTGATTCTTTCAATATTAAAATGAATGTTTTTCTTACAGTTCTTAGCAACATGCTGATCCTTCCTAATAAAAAAAGAAAAAATATAGAAATATCACACACGTGTTAAGCAAGCGAAAACTGGTGAACTTGATGAAGATGGATCCAAGATTCTCTTGAACGCGCAATTACACTGACCCGACATAACTATGATGTAATCACGACGTATTCTTATATCATGATTACATCATGGTTTCAAGGAATATTATTTTCCTCGGGAGCGACACGAGTTCATCAAGTAAAATCGAGTCCGTGGCTTTTCGACTACACGGACAATAGGTACTGACATTTCGTTGACACGCAATGTGATCACGTTGCTTAGATCTTGTTAGACCTTATATTGAGTTGTATTCTCAGAATATTGCGGCATTTACGATAACAACAGCCATGTTATTTAACAAGGCGTTATATAATGATAAAAAACGCGAAATGTGTTTGATTGACAAAAAAGTGAATTAAAATGAAAAAAAATATACTATTTCGCTAATATTAATAATCTTTTTAGGGTGTTCTTTGATCTTTTCCGGCTGTTGCGAATGATCTAAATCCATTGTTATCTTCGAGAGTTGAAGGATAATTATAATATAGGGTGTCTGGAAACTCACTCGCACTACTTCTTGAAGAGATTCGAGATATATAGCTTTTTTCCTTCTTTTTGGGTCCCTTCAGTCACTTCAAGAAGTAGTGCGGGCGAGTTTCCGGACACCCAGTATAATCAATTTTTTCAAGCTTTGCGGGCGAGTTTCCGGACACCCAGTATAATCAATTTTTTCAAGCTTTGTCTATAAAAATGCACATTATTAGTTATTAATTTTTGCAAGCAAAATTTGATCGACATTTAAATGCATATATTTTATTATAAAACTAAAATAAATTTGTTCGATTGTAATAAAAAGATTTTTAAGAAATTACATTATTCTACTTTATAATGATGCGAACAGTTAAATCCTTTATTGTACAAGTTTTGTATGTGATTATAATATACAAGTAGAATATACTGGCTAGTGAAATAGATTCCACAAAAATTACATTAAGGATTTCAGTAAATGACAATAAATACTATGTATGTGAAAAAAATCTGTATTCATTTGAATCAATATTCAGTCATAATGAATCAACACAGCTCAGTAGGAAAGCATCCATTAACAAAAACAAAGATTGGCGTTCTCTTTGTTAAAGCACTATGTAGAAGTATTTATTCCCGGGCATTTTCCCATACTTGTACGTGTATGACATACAAAAATATAAGAATTCGTGAGAAAGTGAATTTCTGTTTTATCAAACGAATGCTCTATTGAATGTACGACAAACAAAATAGAATTGTAATCTTGATGTTATTGTATTTGTTGCCTCCTAAGAGATTTTAGATAACACAATTGATAGAGGGTGTGCAGTAAAACAACCGCTCGTAATTCAAATAGGTTGATAAAATTTTGGTCAAGTTTATTCGAAGCGATCCTTCGCATTATTATCTTACGCTACCGCAACATATCGTTTATAACATATCGAATACAAATCGTTCACAAGTCGCATAACGCTGAAGAGAACGTAAATCATCGTGTTCGTTGCATGCTGCCTTTCATTTTTTTTCTCTTTTACTTCTTTATGGAGCCTCAGCCATATCAATGATTACCTTTGTACCATCAAATCATAACAAGATAGAGCTTATATAATTCCATGTGTGTGTGCGAGAGCACACCAATTAATTTATCAATGTTGAATTAGTTTACATGTTCATGTGAGCTTTCAATATAATAAGTAATGTGAAAAATAATCTTGCTAATACTGTTCTCTAATATAAAGCATAGAAGTATCATATGTTAAGTTAAAGATCCGCTGGGTGGACAACAAAAAAACGTGGAAAAAAATAGCATGACAATATTTCAAGCTACACTGTTTCATGTAATATTCAAGTAACAATACGACTATATATATATATGTGCTGGTTTAAATTCTACAAAACAAAAATGGATTTGCAATTGATATCACGAACGAAAGGCGAATAATTCCATCTTTAATTTGTCTAAAAACAATGTTAAATTTACATACGTATATGTATATATATATATTTATGTTTCATCAAGAATAGAGATATATTTTTGATATTAATTAAAAAAAAAAAAGAAGTAAATTTTTGATCCCTACTTTCTCTCTCCGTCTATAATTAGTTTGCAAGATAACTGAAATCACGAAGCTCGCAATGAATGTGCATATCTTATCAAGTTTAAAGCAGGTTTAAAAAGTGAGATTGAGAAAAATCTGACCGCTCATAATTTAAGTTAATTTTCATTGATTAAATCTTTTAAAGCAAGAACTTACATGTTACAACAAATATGTGATCCTCCCATGCAGATGTAAATTAATTGAATGTAAATTCCAAATCGCGTTGTGTTCGCTGTTACGTCGTTCCGACGGAAATTTTCAGTTAAACCTATGGAGAAAGGTTGATCGGCTTCTACATACGTGCTATTATATGTATATTCTAAACGAATTCTCTTCCTTTATCTGGTTTCACGAAAAAAAAAATGCATGAAATATACAAAACGTCTACGTGAAAACAGTATATAAATTGCAATAATCATATACAAAAGCCGCTTTTATCGACAGATCTGACTCTCCGCACGTCAAAACTTAGTAGCATTACCGGAATTATTTTTACAATGTACGTCTCTCTCTCTATATTGTGTCGTGTACTTATAACATTGTATTGAACATCGTAAATTGACGCTAATTAAAGAAAAAGAACATTCTGAACGTGTTTCTTTCTTTTTTCTCAAGTGGACTTCTCGCTTATCAAAGGGAGGATACAGGCTACGAGACAATCTGCCAACTACACTTAGTACAAATCATATATGCATTAATAGTACCGATCAATTAATATATCTATATACAAACAAATAAGACCTAACAGGAGCAGGAATCCTTTCCTCCCTGCTGTTCATTAGACACTCCTTGGAGGCTGGTGCGACCTGGCTGACTGGGATTATGTTGTACACCAGATTCCGCCGCATTTAGGTCCAATCTGTCAATCAAAGAAATATAATTTACGAATTAACATTAGTCCAAATATTTATTAATTTATAACTTGTATTTTGTAACTTTGAACGTGATGAAAGTCGTTTTATTCAACGTACTAAATATTTTTTATTTTATGTAATTAGATGTAATAACAAAAGTGAACTATGGTCAAACTCACCGTCCGTCTTGTATACTTTGGAATATTTTCTTTGCAGTTTCCAAGAAGGCTTCCTCCACGTTGTGTCCCCTGAGAAATTAAAATGCACGACTCCATTTACAATCGTATGAAAGTTTATATTTAAATACATTAAGATGTTAGAGATACTCACGTCTTCGCGCTAGCTTCGACAAACATCAAGCCGTGTTCGTCAGCAAATTGCTTTGCTTCCTCGTAGGTAACGTCGCGTTGACCTTCAAGATCACTTTTGTTGCCAATTAGGAATATAACCTGCACAAAAATTAATTTTTATGTTACGTGATTATAAAATATTTTAGAGAAGTAACTTTTTTTCGCACATTGCGTGCAGATGTCAAATTACAATTCAATTAAACAGAGAATACTTATAGTCACATTGTGGCATGTAATATAATATAGCAATATACGTACAGTGCTCGGATTTGTTAAATTCCTCGTGTCTGTCAGCCAGCTACTGAGATGATTGTAAGTCGAGCGGCGTGTAATATCGTACACCATTAATGCTCCAGCTGCACCGCGATAGTACGATCTAAGAAGAAATAATTTCACTTTCGTACGCATTTATAATTTTATATTTGTCAGGTGCGATTATCGTCCGAAAAATTGCAACTATTATACCTAGTAACTGCTCTAAATCGTTCTTGCCCAGCAGTGTCCCATATCTGCAGTTTTATCTTCTGTCCCGCTACTTCTATAATCCTAGTCCCAAATTCGACGCCAATGGTATGTGGACAATCTGCCATGACTAAATTTAAAAGAATATTTATATAGATATCTTTATTCTTCAACTTTTTTGTATAAATACAAAGATACAAGCAAAATGTAACACACTGAGAAGTAATTTAGTCTTATTTTTGGAAACACATTTGAAGAAAATAGTTTTACGTATAATTTAATTATGGAGAGTAAAAAACCGTATCTTTATTTAAACAGATTTATGAGAATTATACAAATATATAGTCTGAAAATAATAACTTCTGCAGTAATATTTATTAAAGAGATTATAATGAATTTTTAAAAAAAGTTAAATTTAACTGCCATTGGAGAGAGATGAAGAATTTAATATCCATTATAATATTGCATACATAATTTTTTCATTTAATAATTTTTCTTCAGAAGAGATTATTTTTTATCAGATGAGACAAAAGTCAGTGCACTGTTGTACTACAACTACAAATGCTGTCTATGTCATGCACAACGATGCATGTTTATACAGTATAATGTGCTGCAGTCATATAATTATGCACGCATATGATTACAGCACATCCTTTAAGAGTGTGTCATAAAAAGTAATGATAAATTATTAAATTAATTTAGCACAATTCTTACTCATAATTTTATATGCAATATATATTAATTTATTTAATTCTTTCCTTCACTACTTACATTTTTTTTCTGTAAACTGATGAAGCAGGCATGACTTGCCCACTCCCATATCCCCTATGATGATGTACTTAAAGATATAGGAATAATTATATGGACCGGTCGACATTTTGCACCTGAAATTAAGATTTTAAGAAAATATATTATATTTTTATCTTTATCTTTATTTATATGTATTATATTTTTTTGTAACTGTCTATCGTATTAATTATTATACAAAGGATAAAACTAAAACTCTTAATCTATTGTAAAAGTTGTTTGAAGTAATTTTTTCAACTTGCTATAAACTTAGTGTTTGCAAACGTTACATTATCGAGATATCTAGGTAAATTATGCTAATCTCACACTTCGCGGAATATCCCACGTTCTTTTGTTTCATTTAACATGAGATAAGAGATGACTCATAAGAGTGAGTGTACCAAACAACAGGTGAGAATCTCTTAAAGTCAATAATTTTGACAGTTATAATATAATTCCAATCATAATTTCAAAATTAATAAAAAAAAAAACTTTAAATTATTATCAATCTTGACAAAGAAATATTACATACACCCATTCAATTTTTAAATAGATTATACAGCTTTGCTGATTAAAATGTGCGTTGTATGGATTTTAATATTATTTATTTATTCGATTTATTTATTATTGCTGTGTATATTATAAATATATATATAACGATATAGAATTCGCTACGTTTCGAAAAAAAAAAAAAAAAAAAAAATAACAACGTTCGGTAGTGAGCTTTCGTGACACACAGAAACACGTCGTTTGCAAATTTATTAATCATTCATAGCCTGAGAAAAAGCCTTTCCTCGTCGCAGAGCTGACATTTCGCAAACCGACCGATATATAATAAATTACTGGGCTCTCGAGATAGATCGAATTCGACCGACACGAGACAAGGGACATGTGTTCGCCGAAGGCGCAGGAGCCTTTCCGAGCTCCGCTGACGCGTCGCGGCCAGCAACGTCAACAATACACCCGCGCCGCCCACTCCCATATAATTACGTTAGCCTCCTAATTAGCGCGAGGATAAGCGCGGCCGCGAAGTTTTTACGACGTGGACGTGAACACGGACGACGCGCGATGGTTTCGCGTTTCGATCGTCGGGACTTGGGCCGACGACTCGAGCGGTTACGAGTCGACTCCCTTGATGTCAACAACAATCCGCGCGCGCGGGTGGATTACTCACTCACGCTCTCGTGCGATCGGCGCCGTACTTGGTGTAGCACTCGACGGAGTAGCCTTGCCTTGCCGTGGCCGCCGCTGGGCCGTGACCGAGGGGGGTGTGAACTGGGGAGAGAAAACTGTCCGGCGGGGACTCTCCACGAAACGCGAGCTCACTCTGTCGTCGAGGGTCGCACGACGACGCGGACGACGGCTCGGGCCGAGATATCACGCGCAATATGGCAGGCAGGCCGCCGCGCTGTCGCTACGCTCGACACGATGGCGACGACGAGCGAAACGTCAAACCACCTGTCACTCGCCTCGCAAGTCCGTCCCGTCCCTCCAGTCAGCCTGCGCTCGCACGACTCGCGACGGGCTCTCTTGTTCTCCACTCGCGCCCACTCGCGCCAACTGTCAACAGTCGCCGCCGCAGCGCCGCGCCGCTTTATCGGCCGAAAGCGCGAATCCGATTCGTCGAGCGGCACCTCGACGAGCGGTGACGTAACGCAGCCAATCAGAACTCACCGTCGTCTCTCTCTCTCTTCCGCCGTTCGTAATTTCTCCACGTCCAGTTGTTTCGCATCTAGCTGTCTCCTGCGTTTCGGGCGTACTCGTGCCATTAAATACTGCGTACATACATCTTTTTTTGTGTTTATTCCAGTTTATTCTCATTCTCATTCGCCTCGTCGAGTCCGAATGTGTGTGCGTTGCGGTAAGAGTTTCATGTAAGTTCCGGTACGTTTTTCAGAAAACGGAAGGCAGAAGAGAGCCCGGGACAGTCGATCATCACGTACGTGGCCGATTGACTTGAATTATATCGCCGAGAGGGCATATAACTTTATAAGCCGCTTCTTGGGATTCCTCGACTCCCTCCGTCCCTCTTCCTGTATCGGTAAGAGTCATAGTATAATTTACATATATGTATCGACAGCAATTAGGGAAGTTCATGTGACGCATGTGTCGAGATAAAGTGAACTGTTTTTTTTTTTCTTGAGTCACGTTTGATATAGTAATATTCGGATTTACTGAGAAATGCCGATTCGTACGGCGTATCTCGCCCGACAATTTGTCCCGCTTTGTCCGCTTGAACAAAATAAGGGGTGTATTTGTATTCGGGTGTGTTTTAAGCTCGCGATGTTACGTGCCGCGAGTAGATCGATCGAAGGTGTTCTAGCAGATAAATCATGCAAGATTACGGAAGTACAGTCTATTTGTATATCGATTATGATAACTCGTGTATTTCCCATATTTTTTATTTACTACGCGGAGGTTATGTTTCGCGTTCTTTAAAAATGACTCCAAATGTCACTTGGTGACTGCAAAAAGAAAAATCAGGATTAAATAAACTAAAGGCCAGCTCTTTACGAAGCTCCTACCTTTCTGACGAGCATCATTGTGACATTTACTGACAATGGAGGTTCGCGGAATCTCCATTAAGGCCGTTCTACGCTAGCGTGAGCGTAGTTGTAAAGCTCACCTGTAAGCCGTGAGAAATTGATCAAATCACGGTCGAATGTGGGGAGAATTTGGAACGAATTTTGGCACGAATAATTCGACTACGATTGATCAATTTCTTGTGGCTTACAGGCATACGGCTATGTTGATCCTATTGTAGAATGACCTTTGACACGCCGCGCGCGTGCGGCCGCATTCCTGAAACTTGTCGATTCTCTTGGGAAATCTCTGGAAATTTTTCCTATATCGATCGACCTTTAGTCTAGCGGTCTAATTTGACTAAATATAGCCTTTAGTTTGTTCACATTCATTATTTTTGATACCGATTTCGATAAGTAGGTGTACACGATTAGCTTGTCGATTTTGCAAGACCAAAATTTGCAAACGATGTGACGATCTTTCGAAACTCTCTGGACCCCGTCTGACATTTACAACGTAACAATTTCGCTGCGATAAACTGCGTTTGATAAGCTAAGGTTCTATAGCGCTTCAAATTGCACACCAATTAGCGCACATTAATTGTTCTCATATCAGATAATTAGCAGAAAATGTCTAGCACTATATAGTTATACTTATCCGAATATGTGTTACATGTATCCATAGGATGTGTCGTCTATTACAGATTGTCTTAGCTGACTATTACAGATGCCATACATTCTAGTACGTGGTAATCTAGCGTCGTACAGTCATAAATATCCCTGGAGGGTTTTAGTGTCAGGGCTTAAAGGTACGAAAGAAACACTCCTCTGTATATTCGCCCTTATGCACAATTGATTACATCTTATTCTTTGCTTACTCAAACTTTTCAATTAAATAACGTCGCTCCGCGATTAATGAGTCACATTTGAGAGAGCTCGATGTATCGCGTTTTTTCTTCCTAGTAATTTTTCTACGCGCAAGAAATAACGTTTCAAGATAGCAGATATGACGTACTTATATCTGCTATCTTTTACTTCGGGCAAATTGACGCGCTTAATCTTTCAAGATTACGGCGAGTAACGTTGTAGTTGGAAATATTGCAGGTGATAAATCAAGTCTTTTTTTTTTTTTTTAAGTGCGAGTAATATTCAAATTATGTTATAGCGGCTGACATAGAGCAGTTGGGTCGGTTCTCCTCTATAGGATATTGCGACGACTCGACGATAGTATATTTGCAGCATCCCTGCATAATATTGACCGCATTAGAGGTACTCGGTTACAAAGTCGTCGCATCGTCCAGTACTAGCATTAAGCAGGATTATAATGAGTATATGTGGACTATGAGAAAAGAATTCGCAGAACCCGATCCTGCAACCTGTAAAGCGCCCGTTGTAAAAGCTGGTATGGCTCGAAAATTCGTATTTACTGCCGCTTTAAGAGAGCACCTGTCATTGCACGGCATAAGTGTTACCGTTCATTAGGCACGCCCATTCTAACGCTTCTAAGGCACAAGCTCACCTACTTCATTATCTACTCTGATTTAACAATCTCAACGCGTTCTTGCAATGTAAACAAGTTGTTACAGTATGTGCATACATTAATATTAATTCAGGGACGGCGTGTTGCGCTAAAAGTAGCAAACTGCACGTATTGAATTAATATTGGCACTTTCGGGATGGATAATTATCGTTAAATTCACTCTGAAAAATAAGTACAGTGAACAAGCTTAGCAAAAAATGAATTAAAAGAGTTTCATATGTAGATTACTGTGTGAAAAAGTGTTGATACAACACTTTTGTTGATATAGAAAGCGATGATACATATGGCGAGTCTAATAAAAATGGTAGCACAATATTGATACTGTGCTACCATTTTTATTTAGACTCGCCAGATATCGATTCGAATATTAGCAGATATTTTTATCTCTGTTGAGGATAAAATAGAATAAAAAAAAAAGAAATACGACAATACACGAAGTTCCATTGAAATTTAAATTAAATATTTTTGTGATACGAATTTATAGATACTTTATGCTATCTTGTATACATATCGGATTATTACGTTATGTTCAAACAGCTTACAGATATATTTATAGAAGGAGACTCTTTTATCTTCACGTATATTGCATGTAAATACCGAACGCATTACTCAGAGATGTTTGAATTAGACTAATATTTCATTGTATATACGATAAGTCCATTGAAGATATGTCGGCTATCGGTATATACGTGTAGCCACCCATACATTTGTAAAAGTTGTGGAAGTGCCGTAAAAAATGAAATGAGAGAAATCCAATTTCAGCAGAGGCCATCCAATATATTATCGTCTTTTGTTTCTATCTAAAATCTCGTAAGTTCTCTCTCGAGGACTCTTGTTCTTTGTCGACAAACAACTAGTAAATTTGGCAAGCTCGTATAATACGACCATATACGGAAAATAAATGATGTATTAAGCGTTGGTCGGCAAATTGAAAATAATCTTGTTAATGCAAAGACGGTATTAATGAAATAAATGCGCCGTGCTCTTGTTTCAATAGAATATTATTTGTTTCGTTAATACTGTTATTGAGTGAACAAGATTATTTTCAATTAGACTGCTGTTGGCTAATGCTGCTAATATACATCATTTTTTTTATCCGTGCAGTAGACAAGTGAAGTGAGCGCACGAAATCGTATAATACATAATGCGTTTTAAAGAAGAGCACGAGAAACAGTTAATTGGACAGAGCAGAAGGAATGACGTCGCATGTAACATAATTGAGCACAATTTCTTCACTGTCTGTTTAAAATGATTCAAGAATGCCTTATAAAAATAATTTATATTCCTTATTCTTTCCCGGCCTCTTTCTCTCTAATCTCGGTAAACGCAATATTTCTCCTATACCACTTTTCCACTACACATTTTTATGCTTGCTACTTAATTACGCTTTTTCTATCTTTCTCGTTTTCTTACCCTAAATTGATGGCGCACACATTTCTATTCTATGAATACGAAGAAGACTGAATATGTGAAAGAGGATTGAATAAGAAGGAAAGAATAGAGAACCTGCTCAGTCCCGATGAATGTATACAAAATTCTCTATGATTTTATATATCCTTAAAAGTATTATGTACCTATATTGACAAGTAAAAAGCAATGAAATACTTCCTTACACGGAATGATCTGTATCGTAATTTTGACATATTTATAAAATGCTATTTATACATATAATTAACGATATATATTAATTAATGTTAGATAACTGTTGTTTTTCTCAAAGTTCCTATTGTGTTTTGCACATATATGTAACAATTTGTTTTTTTTCTGCATCATAGCAATTGATAACAATAAAATAGATATAGTTTTTAAGCAATTCAAATATGTTCCGATATGCACATAAAATTCTGAATTAATTTTACAATCGCTTTTTTTTTGCAGCACGTAATAACGTATGACTCAATCAATGAATTTTTACTCTTTTACGTATATGTATAAAACGAGAATTATACGATTTTGTGAAAACATTTTGTATTTAAAGATATAGTATTTTATGTACTTGCGATAGATCTACTGTTGACTGCACACATTTATATCAAATTATTTTTATTTAGAATTTTCGGATTTTATTTACGAAAAATTGAAAACAATATTTTTGATATCATTTCACATTGCAAAGCTTTAACAATGTTTTTTTATTCGGAATTTTATATATCATCGGAAAATACGTGAATTTTCATTGACAATTCATAAGTCTTAGCAATATCATTTGTATATATTGTTCATGTTTACATATGTGCTAATATTTTATTCTTCCAATAGAAAATATTTATTTAGAAATTATCTGCAGTTATCTTAAGCAATATACTTAAACAAGAAGTCAACAGGAAAAAAAATAACGTAACTTGCTATCAAGTTGTTATTCTTTCTCTTAAAAGTACTTTGATAAAATTTGAATAACTATGTCCTATCTTTCTTGTGTTATCATTTCCTTAAATACTTTCGATCCTTCTGTTGATTTTCTATTGGAGATACGGTATATTACGTTAATATATCAGCTTCAGCAACGTTTTATTCGATCGGAATGTGCCATTTATCCTGAAAGCGGTATATCTTCTCAGGATAGATATTTCATTTCCTGCAAGATAATTATACCTTAATTATTTTCTTTCAAAATAATTGTAAGATGTTAAAAAAGCAATTTAGAATTTTATTGTCCAGGAAGCATTTTTTAAAATCTATTTTATCTATATAAACTTTATTTATTTATTTATTTTTTTATTGACGAATGTGAATTCTGAAGCTACATACGTATATTTTTAAAGTAATTAAAAAACCAATCGCATTTTTGTATTAGCTCCAACGGGATCTCAGAGAGATGATTTTCATTTTTACTCTCTGGTCGAACCGTAACTATTCAGAGGGAGAAAATATCACGGAATCTTACGATAATAAAAACCTATAGTGGACGCAGATATTTTCTGAATTTTCCTTTAGATCTCATAAAGAATTGCTCGAAGGATGATTTTCGCATCACTTTCGAGATAAACGGCTCCGATCGTCACTCACGTGCGTCACGTTTGCTTTTCTTTTAGAAGTAAAGCACAACGAGGTATAACGATACTTTTAGCGCGGCAATGGCAACGACAACCAAGCAGACCATCGTCGGCGACGAAGACGACACTTTCTATTACATCGGTGTAAAAGCGTCCCCGTTCGCGACCGATTGCGCGGTCTTCGGTTTGTCGCCGAAGGAGATAGCAGCTTTACGTACCCGTTTCCCGCTGGCCGCCGGTAGCACGAATGTCTTGAATGCAATTATGCTAAAAGGTTAATGAACTCATAATTTCGACGAGATCAAGAGTTGTGCAGATCGCGAAGTTCCGAAAAGATCCAAGTTCCCTCGGCTATGATGCAATTTTTACTCGCGCGCAAACGTTAATTTTGCGAATGCATGCATACGTGTATATGACAGAGAACATAGCAATTTGATTATGAAATCTCTGTTAGTTACATAGCATTACTGGCAAAAAAAATTTTAAACGATTCGTACAATTATTTGTGCAATTATCTGCGGTTCTTTAAAATTATGATTTTATAAGAACACATGAAGTAAACGCGTTAGCAGCCTCGACTGAAATTACTAGAGAATGCCCTTAATTTTTGATATTTATTACAATAATTAATATGTACACAATTAGTAGCTATACAGAATCGCGTCAATAATTTTGTAAAGAAAAGAAAACATTAATTACGACAAAAATTGTTGAACAAAATATTAAGATATTCGCAAAACAACTATGATGTAGCTAATATTATTTTATGCTGATTCGTAGAAGTAATAAATCGGGACGGAGTATGTCGCGATTGTGCCATATCTCTTCAATTTGTTTGTCAATTCAAGAAAGCATGCAGACGAGTTAACGTTCTTATGTAAATTAATAGTATTTCCAATGCAACGTAGCTCGTTAATCAAAGATAAATTACAATACCTGTGATCGAAATACGCATTAAATAAACATTACATCGATGACTTTATCCGTGAAAAAAATTCTTTTAAAATTCTTTTAAACAGTAGATTTACGATAATGAGATTTTTCGCCAATAGGATTTTGGATCTTTCTGGGAGTCCGTCCTTTGTCACAATACAATTATTGTATTATTATCGTAAAATATTTCATTGACTATGACACAATGATTCAGTAATTTTTAAAAGTTAAATTAATCTAATAAAGATTTTATTATTAAGACAAATATTATAATTTATAAAAGTTCTTGGACAAAACCAGCTGTGATCTAAATAGTATAATAATATTAGCAATCTTTATAGGACTTTTTAAGATCTTACGCTGCGAAATTGATTTCAGGCACACCGTTCTCCGTCATAAATGCTCTAGCTGAGCTCGGCTATCGAGTTATTTGTACTACCGGAGATGCCGAGATACTTTGGACAATGCAGCGGGAAAATTAAATGTTATAAAAATGGGCCTTACTGCAAGAACATTATATTATCTACACATATATTCTCTTGAAGAACTTATATATATATATGATATATACATGTGTCTTTATGAATCCAACTGTAGAAATTAGTTTCGATAAATCGATGAGATTTGCAATTTTTTGAATTTTTTTACATTTGCTTTGATATCTTGCGAGTAGTGAGTATTTGTCTGAAATTACGTCTGTGTAACTGCGCTTCGAAGTTTTACGAGTTAAATGTATATACGTACGGATCAATTTGAAAGGGCTATCTTTAAAAAATGTTCTATTGTACCTTGCGAAATTGAACCGGTATGTGTACGAAGTGCAGCGTGTATTCCGTTAGAATAGTTTGGAAAATGAATATTTCATCTTTCCCTTAGGAAACTTATGCATTAGTCCTTGTACGAAATCGCACGAAGGGTTCTCACGTTATCGAACGTGATATTTTTTTGTGTACCGCCGCAATGACGAGTTCCTTCTTTTACGACTTCGAAAATTGACGCGGTAAGATTGTATAATCATGATAAGACTGTTTGGGAGGGAAAGAGGGGGAGGGGAGGGAAGGGGTACGATTCCGGAGATTGAACCGCGTAAAGACTTTCGCAACGCGCAAAATAAAATCGCGCTGCGGATTGTAATTTATTGTAATTTAGTGGACGCGGAAATTCTGACCAAAGGAACGTGCGTTGATTGCATTATATCCGTTATACATGCAATATGGAAGTATTAATTAATTATACAATGATTTGTGATATCTTTACCTCGTTGCATGAAAAATGGGTTTTTTTGAAATATTTGCCTTGTTGAAGGTCTAGAACGTGAATCTTGTAGGATCCAGATGGGCCAAATCGGGCGCAACGTTGTTTACATTGCATCAAATTTGGCCCATACTGGCTTCAAACTGTGTCCACTTATATGTGTTTGTGGAGAACGAAATTTTATTATATACATGCAAAAATACCATTTATACATATTATATCTTTATATTAGTATAGTATTATATCTAAATATAATAGCGTCTAATTACTTTTCCCACCATTTGCTTTAATAGAGGTGATTTATCGTATAGTTATTGTTACACGTGAGATATTGTTCCTCCGGATCGATTGCGGTCCAGAGAGTTTTATTTCTGATTGTAGAGCCAATCAGAAAAAAAAATTGATATATGATGTTTGTGATGCTGTTTATCAATCTTATTGCAAATTATAAATGTCGATCTAAAGATCCTACCACAAAGCATTAATATCAATCCAAAGTATTATTGCAATCGATGTTTCCTGTATTTGTTAAGAATTCAATCTACAAATTGAACGAAATTATAAAGAACGATCGTTATCTCGCAGTGTGACGCTTATATTGTTAGTTTATATATTATACATGTATAAGTAGAAAAAAAATCAAAAGTTACAGTTGGTGACGGGAACGAAGAGCATTTGGCGTTATAATTTTAACAGTCTGAATAGTTGATTCCGAGTAACGTTCGCGCTAGTTCGACGAATTTTATATTTATGTAATGTATTTTATATTTAAGTACAGCTAATTAATCTCTTTCACACGTGAAACTACATATATTTTGTATGTACGACAGTTGTACGCGGCCCTAATAACTCAGCGTGTAATTGAATGTTGTACATGATCGTTTGTGTTTAGAAACTATATGAGAAATAAATATACCGATGAAGAAGTCTGTGTTTGTGCGTGTGTTCGCGTATACACGCCGAAAAGTCTTTACCTCCTTTGAACTCAGAGCGATCTGTTCCTCTTCATGATGCGCAATACCTCAGTCAGTCGAACCTTAATGTAGGATTTTCTTAACAGTCATTTGCAGATACGATAAACAATGGAGCATTCTGACGATCACAAAACGTGTTGCGAACTGACTGCCTCACGGTACAATGTTTGTCAGACCGTAGACGAAATCGGTTTCGAACGCGGGATTTGGACAGCAGGTAAATGGAAAGCGGCACCGTTGTTGATACAGACATTTACGCGGAATAAGGATAGATAGTATGTGATGAAGCATTATGAACGCTGGTCGCAAATAAACGGAATGATAATACGATTCGATTTTTACTACGCGCTCCAGTTTCGAAATTGTAACGGAATTCAGTTGTCTCTGTTCTCATTATCGTACATGTTCAAAAGATGATTTGCAAAGCATGATATAAATTAATTTCTAAACGAATTATAAAATTATTGCGAAAACATGTAAAGTTAAAAGCTAAGGGAAGTCGGAATCTATTATGCAGTTTTTATAGATTCTTGAAATGTATTACTGGAAAAAATTATTTTTAATATAATAATATAATAAGTAAAAATCATAAATAAACTTATAAATAAATATTAATAATTATTATAATATAAATATATTAATAATTATTAGAACTTTATTATTATGCTTTTGCATTACTTATAATAATAATGTTTTTATTATGAGTATTAAAACTTATGACTTTTGCATGTAGCTTACAATAAAATTTTTTATTATAATAATCATTAATATTTTGTCATTACTTTTATACTGTATGCTTGTAATAATTTTTTCCACAATTTTTCGCCAAGAAATAATCGATTCCAAATTTTGTCAGCAGCGACAAAAAAAATGTGTGACTTTCAATCCGAAACCAGTGAGTTGAGTTTCGATTCTTATCTTCAGGAATTTTGTTTACGACTTGTTTTTTTCTTTACGTTCCTGCGCCCTTTATTTTGGCTTTTCGCGCGTGTTTACTTTTTTTCAGCGCTGGAAGGTGACGTGGATCGCGTCAACAAGCTACTGCGGAAGGGCGTCTTCGTCGACCAGCCGGACTCCGCCGGCTACACGGCGTTGCATTACGCAACGCGCGGCGGGCATATCCGCGTGTGCGAGATTCTGCTGGAGCACGGCGCGCAGGTGAACGCGTGCACCCGCGGCATGCGAGCGACGCCTCTGCACCGCGCGGCCGGCACGGGCCACGCCGAAGTCGTCGAGCTGCTGCTGCGCCACGGCGCGGCGCCCGATCTGACGGACGCGGACGGTCGGACGGCCCTGCACCGGGCGATCCCAATGATAGGCGGCTCCGCTGAGGGCGTTGAGATCGTCAAGAGGCTGCTGCCGATCACCGATCGCACCGTCAAAGACAATCACGGTCAGACTGTGGACGACGTGTTCGAACGTTGGAAAACGACGGAGAGCGACGTCGAGAGAATAAAGACAGTGGAGAGATTGTTTCGCGCGTAAAAGTCCGAGGGGGGGGGGAGGGGGGATAGTGAGCGAAATAATCGATGGAAAATGTGTAAAAAAAAAGTAAACGCCAAATCATCAAAAATCAATTAAACGGAATACTCGCAGTTTTCCAGCTTCTCGGAGCGAAAGCGATGAAAATACTAAACGGTAATGCGTAATTGTGATCCAAGATTTATGATTCTTTTTGTACATCTGTATGCAAATGAATAAAAGCGAATCTCTATTTATACATCGGGAAGACTGGTGTGCTTCAATTATTATAACAGAATTATAGATTACGGAATTATGTATCGCGAATCTCTACATATGTCGGAAAGTCTTCCGAAAGCTAATATTCCCGACGCTGAAAGTAGAACACGAGAAACCTATGGGATAGAAAACCAGGTCCATTCAAAGTATAGCTATTCCGAATTTTGGTATAATAAGAATTATTTAATGTGATTAATAAAAAATAGTCATTCTTAAAAAGAGAGGGATTTTATTTTTCTCGCGATAAAGCTGCACGCTTCGAATCCGCGGGAGATCGTCGGATTCTCGTCAAGTTATTTCCTCGACAATTCGCGCAAAACTCGAATTCCTCTCGTCGTTCATCGGGTTTGTCGGGTGAAAAATTAAACGCGCCTAAAATTCCCCGCGAACGACTTCCGCCGCGGCGAGAACGCGACGTTCCTCGTCAGAGAGAGAGTCGCAATATATAACACGCGACCGTCCCGTCCGTCTGCGCGCGCGACGGGACGGACATGCGGCCGCGGAGGGTCGTGCACTTGATATTGAAGCGGCTTCGCGCGCGGCTTCGGCCGTCTCCGGCCGCCGCCGTTCCCGATCGCGGTTGTTGTATGTAGGTAACGTACGCGGCGGCCGCGGCGCACGTTACGGCCGCCGGAGCCCCGGTGTGGAGCAGGCGCGCGCGGAGTCCTCGCGCTCTCTCTCTCTCTTTCTCGATAAAACGCCACCTAGCGGGCGCGCATGCATCTCCCTTCCCCCCGCCGGGGATATCCGTCGTTCGCGGTGCGGCCGCGCCAGTCGTTGCACGACGGGGAGTCGTCAGTCGTTTCACGAGTGGTACCAACCGCGGGTTTCGTTCGCGCGTGCCGTCTCGCAAGCAAAAGCGTGGCGTCGCTCGCGCCCGTACCGCTTTCCATCGCGCGCACCGCGCCGCCGACGTTCTCGCGTCGTCGTGTCCGCGTAAACCCCCGTGTGTGGCCGCGCAACTCCGGCGGGACGGGGACACGTCGCCGTCAGTGATAACACACAAAAGTATCGGCCGTCCGCGCGATACACACAACGCAAAGGCAGGCTGCCCCGCGCGCGCGGCGGCCTCTTTCCTTCTCGCTCTCGCGTGCGAGAGCGCCGCTCGTCGTTGTCGTCGTCGTCGTCGTCATCGCCGGGCCGTCTCTCGGAGTCTACTCCGCTTTTCGTCCACGCCCGTTTCGCTCCGTTTCGTTCGCGCGGCCGCTCACGGAGAGCTCCGGCTTTCCCGTTCTCGGTGATCGACGATCGCCGATACCCTCGCTCGCCGCGAGTGACAATCGGCCGGAGAGCGGCGATGTAACGTCGTCGCCGCTGTGACGTCACGCACGTCGGGTCGCGCTAATCGAGGAGTGTGCATACATACACATACACGTATATACATATATATACACGTACCGCGCGCGCCGAACTCAACGCGGACCCTGAGCGGACAACGCGCGCGCGCGCGCGCGCTCTCCGTCCCCGTCGTCGTCGTCATCGTCGTCGTCGTCGTCGTCGTCGTCGTGGTGTCATCGTCGTCGCTCGCTACGTCTCCATCTCCTGCGTCCCTATCCGCGGCGCGCCGCTCCGTGTAACACACATACACGCTCGCGCCCCGTCGTTATACGCAATACGCGGACAAGAGGGAGAGAGAGAGAAAGAGAGAGAGAGGGGTACAGCGCGCTCTCGCACGGTGTGTCTGTTGCGTGCACGGTGAGATAGAGCGAGACGGAGGAAGGGATAGACACCGCTGGTAAGATCGCGAGAAAGGAGAAGGAGCGAGAGCGCGATAGATAAGGACGGCAAGAGCGTTGGAAGAGAAGAGAGAGAGAGAGAGAGAAAGAGGAGAGAAAGACCACAGGCACACGCATACATATATGCGCTCTCGCCGCGAGCGCGGAGTCGTCGGGGGAAAGGGCGAGGAGGAGGGGGAGGGGGACGAGGGGGGCGCGCGGCGGGACGTTCCGCCGCCGCCGCGACGTACTTGCGTGTACTGTCCAGCAGCGCCCGTCGCGAGGAGGAGGTTCGCGCCGCTGCGGCAGCCGTGGAGGATGAGAAGAGCGGCGAGGCCGCCGGCCGCGAGACAACGCTACACCGCGACCAGATAGACCCTTCTGGAAGGCTCGCGCGCGGCGCGGCGCCTCGTCGTCGCCGTCGTCGTCTGTGCTCGCCGTCGCCGCCGACGTCGTCGTCACCGTCGTCGTCGTCGTCATTGTTGTCATCGTCGTCGTTGCTGCTGTCACGTCGCGCAGCGACATTACGCTGGCACGCGCGTTTCCGACACACGTGCGAAGCGGAATATAAAGGAGATAAGGCGGACGCATATCAACCGCATCCCGTGGCGCCCCACTGTGTTTTTCTGCGGAAAGAGCGACGGTAGAAAGAGGAAGAAGAGGAAAGGAAGGAAGAGAGAGGGAGAAAGAGGGAGGAGGAGGTGGAGGAGGAGCAGCAGCAGACACGTCGCTGTGTTTCTCGGATATTTCTCTCGCAGCTGGCCGTGCCGCTCTCGCGACTGTGCGCGCGTCGTTTCCGCCGTCCGTCCCCCGGAGCAACGTTTTTCGGAGCAGCCCTCCACAGACCGCGGCCTCCTCTCTTGCGAAAGAAAGGAAGAGGAAAAGAGTGAGAGAGAAAGAGAGAGAGAAGAAGAAGACATACGGACGGGCAACCTCGACCTCAAACTCGCGACGGCAGCGCGAAGAGCGAGAATGGAATCGTCGTTGTGCCGCGGATAAGTCGGTCGGTCAGTCAGTCAGTCAAGTCCTCTCCCCGCGTGTTGTGTGCCGTTCGCCAAGCGCCTCGCGAAAACGTTCCGTTCTCCCGGGTGTCTCTCTTGCCCGCGTCTCCGTACGTAGCAAAGCAAACATCGCGGTCCCCCCGCGGGGTTAGCAGCGGCGTTATAATGCACGGCGGCGCGCCGGATCGCGCGCGGCGCCGCAAGAAAGCAGCGGCCGGGTTTCTACGTTCCGTTTTTATTCGCTCGTCGGACGGTCCGCTGCTCCGCTGAGAGTCAAGTTCGTCGCGCTCCGCTGTGCGCGCCGCCGCCGCCGCCGCCGCGTCCGTGGCGCGCTCTCGCGCGGCGTTCACCATCGCGCTTTCGATTGTGCGTCGCCGCACCGCATCTCATCTCGTCGCGCCGCGCCGCACCGCACCGCATCGCACCGCACCACGGGACTTTCTGTCTACCTGCGATACGAGGAGAAGAAAGACAGAAAGAGAGAGAGAGAGGGACTGTCTGCGGGAACAAGGTAAGATAAAGTGTGTTTTATATCTTTTTTTGCATTTTTCTTCTCGAGCCTCGTTGTTCGGCAGGTCTATTTTTTTTTTTTTTTTTTTTTCGGTGACAGTTTCCACAATTGTTTCCCAATGCTTTTCCTCCTTCCTCTTTCTCAAGGTGACGACGTGTAAACACCCGTGTTTTGTTGCGGCGCGCGTGAAAAGGGACCTGCCAAAAGGGACCCGGGGTCCTCGTGTCTTTCAGTCTGAAAAAAATGACACTGCGTGAAATGTTTGGTGTAAAGCGATCCCTCTTGACCTGGATCAATAGGATTTCGGAAATCTTTGATATATTGCCAAGAGCTCCTATAGTTTATACGTGATGAAACACGTGCAGATTTCAGTGTCAGATATTCATCACCAGATAATCACGCAGACATTCTTTGCGAACTTGACTCTGACATTTGTTGTCTCTCCGGGAATTTCTGTAGTACCTACTTTTAGCATAGTCTCACTATTATTGGCCAATTATCAAATTATAGTATCAATTTCTTCCCGAGATGTACTTTAAGCCCCCCCCGTCCCCTCTCCCCTCCCCCCGAGAGAAGATATTTAATATCCTTCGGCTCTGCCTTTTCAGTCGCTGCTAAACGCGCATTGTGAATCGCGCTCAACACATTGATCCATATAATTCTTCGGTGTCAAATAACCCTTAAGTGTTGTCCCTCCCGAAACATGCGAGGTTTCGCGCTTTTCTTTCCGACTAAAAATGCCATTAGCAACCCGATGGCCCTTTTCAGGGCAAATTCCACGATTCCGTTCCGCAACGGCGATCTATTCGGACTCACTTACACGGATACATCCATTATCTCGGGGAGGGTGAGAGGGAGAGGGGGGGGCTAATCGCGATAGCGAACGATTGATTACTTTATGGCGCGGCGAATACATTTTGAAGGGAACAAACATTTCTCTCCTTCCACACTCCTCTCCTCGCACGCTCGCCCCCGGGGGCCGAATCACAATAATGGGAGGATAAAAATTGGACAATGGCAGTGGCACATTTTCTACGAACGAACGAACGAACGAACGAACGAACGAACGGGGTCCGCCTAATTTTCGGTCCCGATGGATTCTCTCGTTTCTGCGTTAAAACTTTTTCTCGGTCTAATGAGCTCGAGTGAGCCGCGGTCGCCCTAAGGGCATGTCACGCGATCGCATCGCCTAAGCCAGGCTATTCGAAGAAGTGAGTTACAATGTACTCGCATTGTATACACGAAATTGTATAGGAGCCGATATTCTGACGTGTGTTTCGGGGACTGCCTCGTACACACAGGGCTGCCGGCCTGAGAACCGTCGCGGTTACGCAAAGCCTTTCATTTTTTAAAAGAAGACTACGAAACGTTGTCCTTGTTTTTTATGAAACTACTATGTGGCGAAATTGGCCGTTTTTGAGGAATCCGAAGGGAAAGCCAATGTTTGCGCCTCAGTATCACTGATATTTTTATCTCTTCAGCAACGTATGATTTAAAATATTTATATTATGCTAATAA